GGGTGGGTTGGTTTTTTTTTGTTGATGTTTTTGTGTGTTTTTTGTTTGTTTGTGTTTTTTGTTTGGTTTTTTTTTTTTTTTTTTTTCTTAAAAAGGTAGTTTTAGCAGCTGGTCCTACAAAGATGACGATGAAGCACATAAATCATAGAAATCTTTTTCTGTGTATGTATGTATAGATTAGTGTGGTGTTATGTCAGCCAAGTCTTTCACTGGGTTCAGTGGTGACAGAAACTGACAGCAGAGGTGCGTACCTTTTCTCCTGTGTGCTTCAGAACTGTGTGCTGAAAGCAATAAAGTATGACCAAGAAATCAAGTTCAAACACCAAGCTATATATTAGGCCAACAGTAATGGGTGAGGTTTGAAGAGTGCAAAAAAGGCAGAAACTGAAATTTGATATGCTAACAAAAATTAAGATTATCTAAACTGTTTATTCCCACTATATTAAAAATCTTCTAAAAAGTAGCAAATGAAAACCATAAGTAAAGCAACTGACTTTTCTGGCACTATTATACCAAACTTAAAAATTTAAAGAAATTGCCTGCATCTCAAAGATGAATGCATAAGCAAGAACTTCTCATATGGGGGATATGATAAAGGACAACAGAGGAGTTATCAGAATTTTGTGACCACAGTTCCTGGGTAACAGTTTCTTCATGGAAGGAACTGATTGATACTTGAACAAAAGGGAAGATTATTCACACTTCTTGAAATTTTCCAGATCCAGCTTAGACTGAGACCAGACTTGTAACAACTTGCACCATCAGCAGCTGTGTTACTGTGGTGACTAACATATCTGCATGCATAGAACCACGGACTGATTCTAACTGAGCAGCAGAGGGCAGGGACAGCTGGATGAGCTGCCACACAATAAAGATATTTAAAAGATTCTAATATAATAAAGGAGAATATGCATACAAAGAGCAAGCCAAAAAGTGAGCTGCAAACAGACTGCATGTGGAAAAAATGCTCATGGCCTATGATCACAGCAGGCTGCAGATTCTTGCATTCTGCTGCTCTTACAGAGATATTCCCTTACAGAGGATGTCAAAGCCTTGTATTTCAAAATAATTTAAGCCAATAATACCAATTGGATACAACCTCACAGTGTCTTACAGTGTTTCTTCACAGCAGCTGTGAATCACTCATATGCTTTCAAATTGCATTTCAGGTGGGTTTTTTCAGACATTTGTTTAAACCACGACGAGCTGCCAGGAACCACGAACAGACATTCTCAGAACAGTTACATGAGCATACTGTGAGCAACCTTGTTCCAGTGCACCCTCAGTATCAGAAATTTAAGAACAATTAAGACTGCTGGTACTGGCCATTTAAGGTTGCAAAGTTTACCACGGAGAAGAGCAGAAAGCTTTCTGCTGTGGTGGATGTGTGTTGCCCAGCTGAGCATTTGCAATGCCACAGAGCCAGTGTATTTGGCACTCACACTGCCCAAGCTTTCCCAACGCTTTTCTCTTATAAACACTTGTCATCACCAAGTCAGAAGGCTCAATCAGGACAGTTTTGTTGCCACTGGCTGGGGTAATAGAACATACCAGTTTCACTTCTATTCTAATGAAATAGGAGATTTGGCAAAATCAACAATGTACTTTACAAATCCTCTTTGGAACCCTTCATTGGTAAAGACAGATGGGGAAGCAGCATTCCAGAAAGATGTGAATGATAATCTGGAAGCAGCTGGTCCATAGCAAAGAAATCATCAGGGTGAAAAAGGTAAATGCTAAAACTAAACCCAGTGTGGAATTAAGACAGCAAGAAAACAACTATAAATTGATCTAGGACAAAAATCAGTATACATTAGTAAAAAACAAATGCATGCCTCCCACAGATAATCAAAGCCCATGTTTTAGTAAAACATGCAAGGGTGTAGTTAGTGATATATTTTCTGTTGTCATTGCATCCTAGACCAAATTAGAATCAAAGAATCTCACTAATTAATGTTTATTTTTTTTCCCCTTAGATGTCATCTCTTTCTTCTACTTTACTTGAAGTGCACTATCACCACGTAGGAAAAGAGCATTAAAACTCTCTGCAAGAACAGGGTAATAAGGAAGAAAATACATAAGGTTTATCAGACAAACACATATGATGTTCCTTTCATGTACTGGTTAACTTAAGAATAAAAAATACCTAAATTACTACTAAAAAAAAGAAAAACAAAACAACCTCCCTTTTTTTCTCTCAGCATCTCTGTCATCAAAAATTTGGCAGTAGTGCACATCCAAAGCTTTTATCAAATGAAGCCACTCATCTTTACATTGTTCCATTTGTTTTATTGTAAAATACTAGACATTTACGTATTTACTGTGTATGTATTTCTTTTAAAATGTGTCTTATGTAAATGGATATAAATATGATTTTTTAAAAATAAAATCTATGGTACATGGGGTCTCAGTGCAAACATTTGACAATACAGTGTCAATAATACTGTTTGTATCTTTCCATTCCACCATTTTTACAGTTTTTGGATTGTAACAGTCAAATGAATATGTTTAGCAGAGTTAGAAGCTTCAATTGAGAAAAATCTGTCAATATTAAAAGCTGAACACCTGCCTCTGATGATGTATAATAAAATGACATAACCTGGAACTGGAGCCAAAATGGACCTCTAAAGACAAAATGGAAATGTCAGATATCTATAGAGAAGTACCATGATGGCTCACCTCTTAAAAACATACAAATAAACCCAGGAGAACTGTTTATAAAAAAAAAAAAAAAAAGGCAATTTAATAAAACATGATTTATACAAAAAACCAAAAACTTTCTTCTATGTTACCTGCGGACCAAGAAGAATCTTGCTTTACCAAGAGCCACCTTTTTGTTCCAGGATCTTGAAACACCAGCCAGCATTGGAAAAGTAAATCTAGTATTTGCATAGAATCAGATTCTTGTTTTCAGATATATTCAACAAAGAAAGACAAGAGAAGCCAAACCCCACCATTTCTTCATTCTAACAGTGCATTAGGCTCCTGTCTAATGCTATGCTTTCAGCCAAGATGGCCTTGCTGATACTTCACAGAAGTCAGTTTTATCAGAGGAAATAACTGAAAGACAGAGTGATTAATATATAATGTATAAAAGATTAGAAGAGCAACTATTACCTGCTGTGGCTTTATTTGGTGGTGTTATTGTTGTTTATTCTTTGTTTAAATGGGAAGTTTCAAAGTAAGACCTACTTAATAGTCATTTACCTATTTGCTATTTTTCTGCTGCTTGATCTTAGCTCAAGACCTGTCTTTTAGTTATTTCTTTTAGCAGTTTGATCTGCAATGTTTGCACGTACATAAACATTTGTTTTGTCTATTTTCATTTGGCAAACTTCGGTCAATCAGATGGTGAACAATTTTTCTCCCCCAATGTCAATAAAAAAAAAGAATTCAGTGCTATTTGTGTTTATAAGTCTATTAAGCTTGGTACATAGGAGCATTAAATTTGGAAACCAGATGCTTCTCACAGCTAAGCATAAGCACATTTTGACACGAACATGGTGTGAGTCACGATGGAGTTACTGTTCAGAATCCGCCACGAGAGGGAGCACTGAACTTGCTGATGGGTGCGATATGATGGCAGGGGTATAACTGTATAAAGCCAGGGCTCTTGTAAATACAGTTCCTCAGGCTTGGCCGACATCGTTGCTGATGTTCTTTCTCCCTCTTCTCCCTCAGCCTCCTTCTGGATTATTTTAGAGTAGAATATCACAAAGTAGAACAATGCAAACACCATTGTCATCGGTTGCAGTATCATCTAAATACACGTTCCCTTGTAAACACCCGCTTACATTTTACAGAATTTCTTTTGCAGCCCACACTGTCACAGCCCACACTAAAATTTAGGGGATGGGGTTAAATGAGATATGTTGGGGAAAAGAATGAGCCAGATCTTGTGACCAAAGCTGAAGTCATCCTGCCCCAGAAGTACTGTTAGCAAAGCACCCTGATGATTCTTAAAGCCATTAGCATTAACAGTCCAGCCTCTCACAACGTTTTACTCTCTGTTCAGATTGAGATTTGCAGCTACATTGAATAACTGAGTTGGGCGGTGGGTTGGGGAGGGCCCTACCTTATACAATGATTTGGCAAACAACAAGATCAGCACAGACTCAAGCTAGGCTGTTTTACTATATGAGTGTAGGCCTGGTTCAACGTGACTGGCTGTGCTGTGTGCAGTCCCTAGTGAAAAAACACAAGGACATTTTATGTCCTTATGTAGTTCTTCTGCAACTAGTAGAGCTCACCAACTCTACAAAAGATCACAGGCACCATCAGGGTATGGCTCACAGTAAGTAGCACCTACCTATCACCTTTTATATCCTACATCAATCTGTTGGTTTATTTCATCACTTTACAGGGATATCATCCTTAACTTTATCCACCAGCACACAACAGTATTTCTGGACTCTTTTGAGGACCTCTTATATATCAACATTATCTGAATGTACGCGTTGCTTATTGTTTCTTCCTCTGGAAAGCACTGTTGAGTTTGAGTAACTTTTCTGCTTTTAAACTTTTCTGTATACGCATATTTTTTAAAGCATTTTCACATTTATTGTTCAATTAAAAACCTGCAGCTTGAGAAATATGCAAAGAGTGTATCCTCCATCCCCTGGCTTATTAAGAACTCTGTAACTATTCTGAAATAGCCTATAAATTCCAGGATAAGCTGCTTAGCATCTGTATTTGCTAAATTTCTTGGTTACAACTACCTCAGCAAAAGCACATTCTAGTTATCCTTATCATAAGGGATACAAACCACAACAAAAAAATTATCAGAAATGCAAAGAGTAAGTGCCTGCCTTTATTTAAAATATGTGTGTATTATTGACTATTACTGTGGACAAATCAAGATTTCCACAGCCCTGAAAGCCAGAAAATATTTATCATATTAAAAAATGACACTTCAGAAAGTTAATGAGTAAAAAAATTATAGGAATCTAATTTACAGCAGAAAGTATAAGGGAAAAAAGAAATCACTGGAATCAAGAAAATTAATTTTTAAATTCCTAATTTTAGAAAAATTTATAAAACATAAAGGTTTCTAATTTACAAGTGAGAGCAATTTATGTCTTCAACAATTTTCACTATAGAATTCCTATTTACTGCTGTCCTCAGTTCATGACTTGCTTTTTGTAAGCTGTTGTAGCCAAACTCAAGTTACTGGTCACATTACACAAAAACGGATTGAAAGGTTACATGACATCATATAAATATATATATAATATTCCCATGACTTCTCCCCTTAAGACTATAGAAATGTATGAATTCTGTGTGCAATTTTCAGCCATCTTCATAACCAGCATATATTCACAACATGCAGAGACTTTACTACGTGTCACTGGCTGTGACAAGATGGTAAAGAACACAGTAGTGTTTCTGCAGTGAAAACATTTTGTCCCAAATCACGACTAGTTTTTAAAATATGGTAATCTTAACAGAAAGTGTCTTTGTATACTTCTGTAACTGAAATGTTTGTTATTGATGTATTAACCCATTTATTTTTTCTTGAGCAGTTCTTCAATGTGTTTAAACACACTAGCATCTTCAATGGTTGGTGTTATCTGAAAAAGAAGAATATATAGAAGCATGTGAGAATAGACTGAATTTCATTCAGAGATTCTTCTAAATCTAGCCTTCAAAAGCAAGCAACAAAACAGAATCTGGAAAGCTCTGCAGCATAAAAACCTTTTCGGTAAGCCACAGTAGAAATAAAATATACTACCTTAAATCATGGGCCAGTTACAGAACAGTCGTGAGAATCAAAACCATAATGTTGTGCCTTTGGGTGTGCACATGTGCCTAATTCATTAAAGCACACATCTCCAACTTGCCTTGTATGGCTTTCCACTGACAAGTGCAGAAAGAGCTGAACGTGGTATCTTGCCAGAGCGTGTTTTTGGTAGCTGTTTCACAAACATCCCCTTCTGGAAAGCTGCTACAGGGCCAATGTTAGTTCGAACTTGCTCAACAATTTCATTCAAAATCTTATCCTCTTCTGTCTTTATACCTGGTGAAGAACGTCATATCCTTTACCTTTTCTGAGACTCTTGCAAGTCTTAATGACATCAGTATCAGTGAGCTCTCACCTTGTCTCAGTACACACAGCGCAAATGGAACATGTCCTTTTAAAGGATCCTCCTGGCCTACAACAGCACAGTCTGCCACAGCAGGATGGAAGAGAATACACTGAGGAATAGAAAACAGAATTAAACTGAACTAATAATATAATAGATGAACATTTCAGTGAAAAAATTCCACAGTCATGGACATTTAACATAGTTACTTCTTATATTTTGACAGCAAAAGGTATTTAGTCAGTACACCTCAGGATTCCAATTACATGTGTTGCAGATGTATATGAGTGTTTACTTTCATACATACAGTTCCATGTATTTCTCAAACAAACACAAGAAGTAAGAACTACAGAAGCATAAGACAGAAATCTAGAACAAACCAAAGGCAATTTCTTTGGAAGAGTATCACATCTTTGGTTTTTTAGTGAGATCTTTGCTGGAACAAGTAACAGTAGTCTAACATTATAATTAACCTGGAGTTAAATGCATGGGGTAAGGACCAAAACCACAGAAGCACTCCTATTACAAAGTCATATTGGTTTATTCTCTCTGACTCATACCTTTTTTATTCTTTGCTGCTGTAAAGGCATAGTTTCAACAAAGGCCAAATACAGGCCCAGCCTCAGTTTGCAGCCAGCCTAGCTCAGTTCTCTCTCTTGGAAGCATTAGGTCTCAGCCTCCTGAGACAAAAAAGACAATTAAACCAGAGCTTCCCTCCTTCCCAACGCACGTTACACAATATCACATTGACAAAAATACCCCAAATTCTCTTTTAGTTAAGAAAAGTAAGACATTCTCTCTTCCTTCCAATTAGCTAGCTGACGTTCTGACTTCCTGGAAAACAGTCTCAGTACATACCAAGATGTGTGTCACCAAGTCTGGGGCAAAGCTGGGCTTAAGATGCCAAGAATTGTGAATCCTCTTCCAAAGTGACTGGCTATTTTCATGTAGCTATCAGTGTGCCTTTGGGCATCTTGCTGTCAAGAGTGCTTTTAGCACTTTTCAGTCCTCTGGACTCAACTACAAAGAGCTAAATATGACCCTACACAGAGGCCACATCATGTGCATACAAGGTCTATGTTCTTGCTAACAACTGAACTTCACATACTGTGTTGTCAAAATCCAAGGCAATGGGATGACTAAATTTTAAGAATAAAGGCCTTTTTTTGGTTGTTTTTATTAAGCAGGAATATCACATTTCTACTGGCTACTCATACAATGGCGTGAGAATGAGGAAGACAGGAAAAGTACACAGAAGACAGAGAAAAAAACCTGAAGAAATGGAAAGCTGAACCACTATTGTTCCAATTAACAAAAGGAAGGCTCTTGTTGACCTGTTTGTGAAACCAATGGGGAAGGAACAATTCAAAGGGTTTCCTATAACCCATCCCGGAAACAGACTTCACCATCCTTGAGGCATTATAGTCAGAAAGGAGGAACTGGCTCTATGTGTCATACATGCACATAGGGAGCCCCCGGTGGTGTAGAGGAAAACACACTGCACTGACACTGCAGAGACCCGGGTTCGATTCCCGGTCGGGGCCCCTCCCCGGGCAGATGGAGCTCGTTAGCCCTGTAAGGCAATCCATCTACGTCCTGAGGACCTCGCTGCCACCGTCCAAGCGTGCTTGGCCCCGGCAGATGAACCTCAGGATTAAAGGGTGGGCTCAGTTCTGCGCACACTGTGTCTCACCTAAAAAATCCAATGCGCAGGCTGGAAGGTGGAAAGACCTTCCCCGGTTCTTCGTTCGCGAAGAGACTGGCCAATACTATGTTTACTACATGTATACTACAACATACACCAAGAAGTAAGCATTTCTAGCACACTTTGTTTGTCAGAAGCTATACTCACTTCACAAACTATGATCCTAGAAATATCCCATGTGAGAAAAAGGGCAAATGGAAAACACTGACCTTAATAGTAGATGCTTAGTCTATCAAAGTACAAAAGCATGACCATTTATGCACAGCTTTTGCAACTGTATATTTTTCACAGGAGTTAAATAGGATGTGCACCAGCTACATATACAACAGTGGGTTGGGCTTACCTGAGAATTAGAAAGGCAGAGGAGCCTGCTAGAATAAAAGCTGAAGCTAAATATATACCTCTGCATTTGAATTCAGGTGCAGCCTACTTTTTCCAGAAGTCATTGTAACCACACTGACAAATCATACAGGAACGAATCTTACGCAACTCCAAATCTCTATGGTATTTCAGTGCATCACATACACTTAATGCACTTTGGTCACTTCTAGGCCAGAGCCTCAATAATGCATTTCTTTCCTGTTTTGTCCTCTTGACCCTGGCCACAGGAACTTGAGAGCCATAATGTAACAACAACAACAAAAGGAAAGGAAAATAAGGGAAAGAAAAGAAAAACCCAAGGAATTATGGAAAAGTAGATAGTAAGGTCTACCAGTGGAGTATTGTTTTCCATAGGAATGCAGGAAAAAGGTCTGCAGTAACCTCATGTTACCATTAAATATCATAATTACCTGCCAGGCATCAAGAGATGCCAAGCATCTCTACCTCTAAGGTAGAGACTTAAGTATTGCCAGCTTGTTCTGTAGTAGCTTGTTTTGGCCATTCCAGACTGTCACTTATTCATAAGAATGTGATGGTTAGCTGGAATATTGCAGTTAGTAGTATTTTTCTTCAGTCTATCCAAAATGCTATCAACATGTCTTTGACTTTTCAAATGCTAACTTCAAATGACTGAAATTAGTAATTAGGAACAACTATAAAAAATTAGTAAATACTAATTTGAAAATTATCAAACTTTGAAAAACAACTAAAAATGACAGAATCAGCACTAGACATTTAAGAACTGTTTAAAAGTAATAAAAAACTTAAAGTGAAATGGCTTTCCTGGAATGATCACTGGGCAAATGAGGAGCAGACAGAAACACCATGATCAGGAAAGGGATTTCTCATGCTAAATTCCTCATTTTCAAGGCTGTTGCCTCAGATAGTCAAGATTCAACTTAGGTGCTTTTCAGAATGGGGCAGGAAGTGACACCATAGATTTACAGAAAAGAGTCAGATGGACCAAGACAAGCTGAGGCTACCATAATGGTTCACCTTCACTGACTGGCAAGGTAAACACAATACTTACTGCATTGCATAAACATGGAGCTCTAGTGGTATTAATAGATACCTTAGACAAAGAAACCAATTGTTTAGAACATAATAAAGCTGAAATACTTAGTCAAAGCATTAACAAAAAACTTGTTATGCTTGTAATGCAGCTAAAATGTAAATGCAGATAAAATACTTACTTGACAAGGTGACTGTCATTTAATTAGACGGCAATTCAATGAACCTCTAATTCTGTATTTACTGATCTTACTGAGAAGCTCATAGTGGTCTTCTTAATGCTTTCTCATTTAACTACGCTGGGCATACATTAACACCACTGTTGGTTTTTAGCTTTGTTCAAAAAGGTGAATAGAAGAGCTTCTAGAATGTCAGAGTGATGAAACACTTTTTTGTTTCTAGGGGAAAGACCTAACTAGCAGGCAGACAAACAGACACAGATGAATACAAAGGTAATACAGCAGAGGAGGTGATTCAATTAATCTTTTGTTATAGCAGTTTCAGATTCAGGCTGAAGCAAAGAAACAATGCCCAGTTCAGCCCCTGAGGGGCTGAGATTCCCTGCTGCACTTTAGTAGGGCAACACAGAAACTGATTTCTAAGGGAAAGAGGCTTAAGCAGACTAAAAGCCACCTTTATGTGAGTCAGGGCAGCAGCTGGTTCAGCTCTCTGGCTGACCAATTCTCAATGGACTGACTATATTTATCTGAATTTGTTCATTTCTGTTTAATCAGAATTTCTTCTAAGTTTCCTAGCCTTTAAAAAACATAGTCACTAGCCAAACAGAAAACAAAAAAATCACAAACAAAAAAATTACTAGTTTTGATTCAGTGAACAGTTAAATTAAGAGTTCTTGTAAGTGTATTTTTTCCTTGTACATGCCCAGCACACCTTTTCCTATACCCCCTGAATAAGCAATTGATATGTCATCAGGGAAATTTGTAACTGACAATCAATCACAGCAGTTCCAGAGAGGTGAGTGAACAATGATATGAAATTCAGACACTATTATGAACTGCACTATTTTCAACTTTTTTGAGTTCCATGACATTAATGACTTTCGATTTAACAGCAGGTTTTTTTACAGAAATTTTCATTGTTCATTTAGCACTGCTCATACAGCAAGAGACAAAACAGCTGTCAAGAAACTGTGAAGGAAAGTCTTCAAATCAAGAAATGTGAGTCTATGTGAAAAGAATTCAGCCAACACTGAGCACTACATTTTAGGAATAAAAGTTTCTACTCCTCGGTAACTACAGTAGTTGGTGAAATTACTTGGCATACTGACTCTGTATTATCTTAACATATTCCCAAAAAAATACGTTATCAGAGCTAACAACTATGCTTCTCATATGCCTGTCTTATCAATCCCATGGTACAACCTGCTTATTACTGGCTAAATTTATTGTGTTCTGGAAAACACCTTAATAGGAAGAATCTGAAATACGAAATGCTTTGGTTAAAATATCAGTGGAAATGAAAACAAAAAGAGCAGAGAGAATATGAAAGATTTTTGTGAGATTTCCAGTCTCAGCTTGTTCTATTCATCTTTCATTCTTCTATTTTGCTGTCAGGCAATGCTAACCTCTTCAATCGCACCTGCTGAAATTCTGTGTCCAGCAACATTGATCACATCATCAGCTCGAGACAGGACATATAAATAGCCATCTTCATCCATATAGCCAGCATCCATAGTATCATAATATCCCTAAACATGGCACAATAAAAAATAAATTCAAAAAGAGTACTAGGAATACCCATTAATTTACCACGAAACCAGCAACAAAAAAATCAACCCTTTTTCACATTAAATATGCTTTTGGTGCTTGAAAGATTTAATTCTGTAATATTTTTCACTATTTTTATGTCATAATATGCCATGCAGCTCCCTTTCCAGAAGAATTTTATAGTCTTTGTTAATACAGAACAGAAAACAACAGATAAACCTGGATTTCTTTCCAACTCTGCTTACTTTGATCCCTGACAGCTTGGAGGAGGATGTTGCCTGGATCCGCGCAAGGAGAATGGAATTGTTACAATATGTTGTCAAACTGTCCTAAAGATATTCCTGTTTGCTGTATCCAAACATAAATAATCATTGCGAAGCAACTGCACGCAGGAAAAAATTCATCTGACCAATTCACTCATTTACTTTTATTGATCCAAACCTTCCATTCAGAACATTTGCACAGAGCCAATCTAGTTATTTCTACAAGGAAAGGACGAAGCCAATCCTTGGATAGTTCATCTGACAAGAAAACATAACTAATGAAGTAAGGAGCCTCCAACATATTTAGGTGCACAGCGGACAAGTGTGTATTTTGGACTGACACCAAGCTAGCATGACTATATGTCAACAGGAGTACTATATTTGAAGCTATGCTAGTCTAAGGTTGCAGGCCTATATCTTTTATTAGATCAAATTACATAAAATGGCTTTTTGGCTCAGAAGTTTGAGGTTTACTTCTTCTGCTTCAGATCTTAAAAAACCCACAGTATGCCCAAGGGCTTAAATTATAGATGAAAAAAAGTTTTATCTTGAAATGCTTTTAATTGTATACACAGGTATCAAAGATCTCCAATTAAATTAAGATATGACAATTTATGATAAATGGTTATCCAGGTTAAATCTATTATCATTCAGTTCTGGAGGATTACCAGAAATTTATATAATTTATTTCATAATTCTTACGGGAAACTTTTGGAAATATAACTTCTGGAATGTTTCTTCATTTTCCCAAAGACCTGAGAATGCTCCAGGAGGCAAAGGCAACCTTAAATTGAAAAGAACAGAGGGAAGTAGTAAGAAATACAGATATAACAAGTACAACTCATGCTCTCCATTCATACTTGATATTCAGATAAATAATCATTGTTTATACCATCAGAAAACAGTTCAGCTTAATAATATGCTGATAACATAAAAAGACCATATATTATTGTGAACATATGCATATAACTCTGTACTGTATCCAGACCTTACCTTTTATATTATATAAGCCCCTCAGTAAAATAATGTTTGGTGTAGTAAACACCATATACTGCACTACAAATATGTTAACAACATTCAGCTTTCAACATTTCTAAGGATTAAGAATGTCAGAAATGTGTGCATATGTGCTATGATACAGGCAATTCCATTATTACAGGTATCTTTTTCTCGAACACCCATCACAATTCACACGTGCATAGACAGATGGATTATCAAATACACAAATCTTCTGTTTCTGTAAAAAGGTTTAGCTCAAAGAACTTCAACCATGAGAATATGACTAAAAATGCTTTTCTTTTATATTGAAACTGTGCTCAATATTACTGGAAATACTGGAGGAGTTCTTTGAAAGTATACTGATTAAGAAGTGAAGCTGAAAAAATTCTGGATTGCTTTATTTGCTGAGTTTTGAATGCACACTATACACCCCTTCATCAGTTAGCAATATGGGAATGAGAAAATATGGGACATTTCATATACATGTCTGTCAGAAGAAGAGAAGCTGCAGAAGCCTCAGCTAACAAACAAGTGGTTGTTTCTTCCTTCAAATCTCTAACAGGATTAAACACAGATTTCTTCAACTGCCTAAGAGAGACATATTCAGGCATATTAACACAAGTTTTATCAAGTTTACCCCTAAGGACAGAGAGAAAATGATCATGTAAGCAAACATATTTATTCAGATAAAATCATAAACACCCCATACAGGTTTTACTAGCATATGCCTGCATTCCTAACAAGCAAAAATTTAGCTAGAGGTATTTTATTTTCTATTGATAGTGTCCCTGTGACACCTGAAGGCAACATCTCTAGCAGTGAAACACTTCTGTAGCATAGCAACACCGGTATCATTATAAGTCTCCAGTGATGTTCAGGCCACAAGAACGGGTGCCACTAGCTCTGTGACAGGTACATTTCTAACACTGTATTTACAAAAAGAATAGTTATCTATCTATCTATATACACACTAATCCTAAGTATGGCACAAATATAAAAAGGGGCAGTGTTCCCAGTATGCCATACGATTTTTACATAAATCGGGGTATAAATAAGAAGGGAGGAGAGGTCTTCGCTCTTCTTCTCTTCCGGCAAGGTTTGGGAACAGTGGGTCCCTGCGTTGGTCTCGCTTATCTAAGGCTGAGGCCTGTGGCATCCAGTGGCCTGCCACGTGGAGGCTTGGAGAGTGCTGGTCGTGTCTGCCAATCCTACTTTTCTAAGGGACATGGTGAGATTTGTTTTACTAGTTATTGGGTTTGATTGCGTATATCTGCTCTGTGTCCCTTTTTTGTCTCCTTTTGTTCCTTTTTCCCCTTTCCCTATCCCTTCAGGGGGTGTTTGGATTCCCTTTTACTGTACACATAGCATCTTAACTGTATATAGCTGTAATATACATAAAATATATATTGTTATATAACTAGTTTGATTTCGGGTTTTTTTCAATTTGCATAGTTCTTTGCCCTGGGGGAAGAAGGGAGGGGGAAGGGGGGGCTGCTACTGGGGGTTTGGGCATTTGGCAGGGAGCCAGGCCCCAACCATCACAATGGTTTAAAAAGTACAAACTACATTGAAAAGGTTGTATCATCCAGTAATGGTTCAAATATCTGATTTTTTACAATCCTAGTTTTTTCAGCTTAATTCAGCTCAGTTAGAATAACAGAATATGCTGCTATAAATACTACTTTATCTGAGGGCTCTGGCTCAACATGTCCCATAAATCACATTCCTTGAAAGTATGGTTAAGAAAGTATGGCCAGAAATGACAAGACACTTCCCAGGTAGTCACGCAGGGTTCAGAAAGGCGGCTTGGCTTCTGCCCATCTGGAAGGAATTCACTGCCCTATTTTAAGCTTTTCAAGCTTAGTAAGCATCTCTGTGGTATACAAACATGACCTATACAGTGTTTGCTTTGAAAAAAAAAGACTTGAAAAACAATACATTGATCCTGACATTTATGCATTTATGAATTTAAAAGAAAAAAATTCTCTTGCTTAGATTCAAGAGAAACCACTAGAGAATGGCAGTTGCTATGGTTGTTGCCTGGTTGCTAATAGCATAGCAATTTATAACAGCCTCAGTCATTGCAAATTTTGCACTTTAAATTTATTTAGCAGTCTGAAACATCCTTGTGATGGGAGAGAAAGAACAATTCATATTGATAAAGTCCTTAATTTCCCCATAGCTCTATTCAGTACTTTGCAGTTAGTCATTCAATAGAAAAAAAATTACTGCTGAAATCAGAAAAGCATTTTACTTTCTGTAATTGTTTAGAAATCTAAACATCATAGTGTGTAACATATCACCAAAAATATAATGCTTGCTCCCACCATTTCATTTTGTTCTATTTGTTCAGATTTTTTTTTTGGG